TATTCGGTATACACATGCGTGACATTTTTTATTTTGATATTTCTTTTAATATCCAAGGTGGAACAGAAATTGTCACAGAGAGTGAGTACCCCAGTGGACATACTGTAGCTGGAGTTCTTGACCAGAGCCGAATGCAGCGGGAGAAGATGGTTTACATGGCAGTTAAAGATTCTTCACAAGAAGAAGATGATATCAGTAAGAAAAAAGGGGCACTGTAGAGACCTATGTGCCTTGGTCATTCAGTTTTAAAAAAAAGCAATATCAGAGATAGCATTATATAAAAACATACTGTAATAAAATAAACCTAACCCTTCACTGCAAATATTTAAAAGGGAATGGTCCTTTTGACTGCTCATGTATTGTTCAGATTAGCCTACGTGAAATACTGTATCTGGGATAATATACTGGGAATGCAGAGAGGAGTGGTACATAGATCTTAACATAAAGGAGCTGACAAATACAGTGAGAACTGTATACATGTGTATGTTATTGGATATGTTGCATTATGTATTATCTCATTTAATCCTCACAATTCATCCCTGAAGTAGATGGTATTATTCTTGTTTTATGGAAAGAAAAAGACTCAGGGAAAGTAATTTGCCCTAGACTATTCCAATATAATCTGAGGAAGGAAGGATTTGAGCTTATATCTGTCTAACTCCACCGCCAGTGTTCTCTCCACATGGCAGTGAGCCCTGTTGGTCTCTCTGGATTCAGCACTAAAAGAGCTAACTGGTTGTTCTGTCACTGAGAGGTTAGTTGCGTAAGTATCCATCCATGCCATTCTGTCAGAATCTTGATTTATTATGTTGTTGATGGTTTCCAAATAGTTGGTCTTCAGAGTTTCTTTGGTTTTTTGAGATGGGGTCTCACAGTGTAGTTCAGGCTGGTCTTGAACTCACAGGGAACCTCCTGCCTCAGCCTCTCAACTGTGTACTACCACAGCTGGTCTTTGGAATCTCTTGGGGCTGAGTACTACAGGGTAAAAAAATCTCCTTAGGTTTCCTTTCCTATCATGATGCATGTGTCTTTATGAAGAAATTTTATTCTCTGCCTGCTTTCTCCTTATCTCGTTATGTGTCCCTTCTCTAAGACTACTGCTGTCTCTTTGCCATGCTGCAAAAAAGTACTGTTTTGTTTTGCATAGAGGGACAAGAATCTCCATTTTTATAGCATTACCCTGACAATGTTGACTTTACCTATGCTGCATTCTGATAGCTGTTCTTCAAGTTTTCTTCTCTAGAAGACATAGGGAGTTAAATTCTACCCCAAAAGCCAAGTACTATATTATAGCAGAAAGTATCAAAGTGTTTGAATAGAGAGGACTTAGGGAAATAATTCAATAAAACACTTCTTACTTATGGTCAGGCATACTAGGAAGTAGAAGATGGGCTTAGATTAGCTAATGATGGATATCCATAGGGATGTGGAAAATGTAGAACAGTGCCTTTGGGAGAAGGAAAACTTGGGGAAGAGGGATACTTTTTCACCTTTATTTTTGTATTTCTTTTACAGTAAATAGAAAATCCCGGGATGTGAATCAAAGGAAAAGCATAAATTTAAGTCAGATTTTTGACAAATGTACACAGCTTCTATTACATAAAGTAGCTCTCTAGGTTTAAATACTTTCACTATACTACTGCTTTTTTTTAAATAGCCTCATATAATCCTTTTTCTTAGCAGTCCCTTAAAATCCAGCTCTTTGAAGGGTGTCCACATATTAAGCAACAGCATTGTGAATCAAAGGAAAAGCATAAATTTAAGTCAGATTTTTGACAAATGTACACAGCTTCTATTACATAAAGTAGCTCTCTAGGTTTAAATACTTTCACTATACTACTGCTTTTTTTTAAATAGCCTCATATAATCCTTTTTCTTAGCAGTCCCTTAAAATCCAGCTCTTTGAAGGGTGTCCACATATTAAGCAACAGCATTTTATATATACATAGTACTGCATATAATGTGGGATAACATAATTCTCTAATGTTGTTTCTATGGGAAATATTTCCTGAATTTTAAAGAACTTCGAGGCAAATTTATGGAGTACAACCCCGTTTATAAATTTGTAATGCCTGATGTGTTGTAAAATTAGCTAGTATATTTCATGGGCACATGTTTTATATAATTTTCATAGGTCTTGGTTTTAAGAAGGGAGTAAGAATTTTGGTAAATTATCGTCTCCTAGTGGCAGTACTCTCCAAAAGTGCCCAATATAAATTTTAACTTACAGATTTTTTTAATTAACCAAACTGAAATCTTAAGAGTGAAAAATTTAAATTGTTTGGAATTTTTACCCATTTATTAAATATTTGGGGTTATAAACAAGCAATTATTTCTAAAATTTAGGTTGCGCTGAAATAGCAGATGAAGTTTACATGGAAGTCATTGTAGGGGAAGAGGAAGGAACTTCTCTCCCTGAAATTCAGCTTGAGAACTCTGATGTTAATAAAACAATTGTCCCTGTTGTCTGGGCTGCGGCATATGGTAGGACACTGGCATTTTTCACCTGATAAGTACATAACATATATATTTAATCAGCCTTTACACCATTAAATATGCTGTGCTAATGACACCATGAATTGGCTAATACGTTTTTCTGTGCACTGATTCATCTCTAGTTACTTTACATGATTTTTCTGTCACATATTTTGTATTATTTAAAGTGAAACTTGCTTAATGCATTTTCAGTAGCATCTATTTTAAATCCTGCCTGTATAAGTGAGTACTATAAAACATTTTATTTTCCTGAAGTAGGAATTCCTCTTTTAAAATTCATCCTTTCCCTTTTGGAAAAATTTATTTCAGTTGTTAGCACCACAGATCATAACATTGGGGTTTCTGAAAAGAAACAAATTCAGGTGTGCTCTTCTGGAAAGTATGTAATGAAAGGTAAATTTATCAAGTTATTTTTTCACATTACTTTTAAAATATCTCATCTCTATCTAGTGTACAAGATGTTCCAGGTATACTGTACTTTGAAAAGCTGTGGTGTTCAAATGCATTAATTTATCTAAACTTGGTTCTCTCAAAGGTTCATTCATTCAACAGTCATTTGCTGAGCATTTTCAAAGCTGGGGGTTCTCTGCAGAAATGCTCAGTTTTTGTATAAAAAGTAAAGCTTGGGCTGAGGATGTAGCTCAGCAGCACTGTGCCTGCCTGGCAAGCACAGGACCTGAGTTTGATTCCCAGTCCAAAAAAAAAAAAAAAAA